CCAAATAGATGCGCAGGGCTCACAGTGGGCACAACAGAGACAGGGTTGGGTCTCCCTCAACAGAAGGGAGAGCCTGCAGGTTCACCACTTGGTCCCTAAAGGGAGTAGTGGGATCCTTGGGCACATATCCAGGTCAGGGTCTCAGGACAACGTGAGAGTCTGCCAACCCTATTTCTAGGCATGTTTCGTTGATGGAGAGGGCTTGCAGAGCCCCACTCTCTTGACTGAAGTAAGCACAGTCAGTAAGGCTGTCTTCATAGGGAGGGCACTCTCTCTGTAAGACCCGCAGAACCATTGAGACATCCCAAGAGGGGATAATGCATGGTCTCGGAGGATTCAACCTCCTTGCACCTCTCAGGAATCTAAAGGCGCTTTCGCACCGTGTAGTTCTAGGAACTAAGTCCTGGAACTAGCCAACAGGGTCGTTCCTAGAGGACCAATTTCTCCCTCGGGCCATTTTCCTGGTTGTATTCGCACCGGCAGCAGGAACTCTGAAGCGGCCGATAGAGACATCTTTATTCTCAGCATTAACAAACATTAACAACTGGAGAATGGAGGACAGCGTGATCGGAGCTGTTTTTTGTTGTGTGCTGTGGGTTTTGTGATAACTGAGATGTTATGCAAATGCACAGTTTACGCGATTGAAAGGGCATGAAAATCTGACTAGGGGCAGTGTTTTAGAAAAGAACTGGAGCCGCGAGTGCAACGTGAGGACATGAACCATCCACGAGGGCTGACTGCTTCATCATGGATGCAGCCCAAACACTGAACACAGCAAGCGTGCCGGTCAGAAGGCGAGATGTTGAAACAGCAACCAGAAGGACATGGATGGAAAGGTCTGCCTGTGCCTTAGATTCAATGATGAGGAGTAAGAGAGGTGAATGATGGGCTGCTTCTCAGAGAGAGATGCTGCATTGGCTCCAAAAAAACAGAACAAGTGAGCAAATGCCATGCTGACCTATTTATACCTGGAAACCTGGGGCATGACCTGCTATGCAAATTTTGTATGTCAATTTCATTGGGTGTCTGTGCACCCAAATGTGATCTCTAGTGTCTGAACTTTGACTTTGTCGTCAAAGTGATAGACTGAAAGTGAACTGCTTTCACCTAACACAGTCTGCCGCTGCATAAAGAAATGCAACTGAATCTCTGTTACTCACGAAGAAAGCTACACATCAATTTTATGCATTGATGCCACCGGGTTTTCTGGGCCCAAGCTCATCTCAGAGAGATAAAAAGACAGTGGAAATATGTGCTGTGCTCAGATGAGTCTTTGGGAAAAATTGACTTTTGAGCTCCCTGTCTCAAAGACTAAAGGGACCATCCAGGGACTTTCACCATTGACAGATGCAGAAGCAAACATCTGTCAGGGAGCAGCAGAGCAAACGGCATGGGAGACTGGAATATATGTGATGGTACCATTGACATGGAGGCATATATTGTGACTGTACAGAGACACGCTGCCATCAAGATGACGTCTTCAATGGGAATTCCACGGTTATTAGATTAAGACAATGCCAGGTCTCATTCTGCATGTATGACAACAGTCTGTTTTTGTAGACACAGAGTGAATGTCAGTGCTTATTTCAAGGCACGGTTTTGAGACATTCTAAAACGCTTAATGTGGCTTAATGTGACATTGTAGGACCAGATTCAGTATTAATAATTACTATTAAAGGTAGGGTATGCGATTTCGGAAAGGCTATAGCAATAGCAAGCTAGCTTTGAAAGCAAGATCCCCACCCTCCCTGAATAATCACTCTGCAAAGTCACATTATCTAGTGAAAATCTTTGCGAGAAAATGCAAAAAGTTTGAGAGTGAATGCAAATTTTCTCGTGAGGAATGCAAATGTTTTGTGAGAGAACGCAAAATATTTTTACAAATATTTTTTCCTCCCTCCCCATATTTTTCCCACCAACATGTTCCTTTAGGCTCCGTAGGAAACAGTTCAAGTGTAATTTTTTTTTTATACAACAAAACTTATGCAAAAATACATTATTTTTTTTGCAATTACGTCATTACATCATTTTATTGGTAAAAGGCCAGTTGGATGGAAACAGGCTGGAGACAGCAAATTTCGCAAGGCAAAGCTAATTTTTTTAGACATATTCTCTTTTTCGATAACAAAAACTGGATGGAAACTTGACTATTGTAACAGTTTTACCATAAACAGCAGTGAAATATCAAAATCTAATCTATCTAATGATTCAAGTATTTTTCAAGATTAAATAAGAATTCATAGTCATTCAATAATTATTACTTTAACAGCTGCCAACAATTGCCTAAAAGAAGTTTCATGTTCTTTTCATATTCTTATATTCATATTCTTAATTCATATTCTCTTCACATATCGAGACCTCATCATAACACACAACTGTTTGAACTGCATTACGAGTCCACTGTGGTGCAGATTTAAATGCACCTCTCATCCCTGTAATCGTCCAATGCCCAGGAAGGAAGACCACCTTGTCCTTCAACTTGGGACAGTTGCCACATAATGTCAGAGGTGATATCATCCAGAAGCCTGTTCGTCTGCTTAAAAATAGCAAGATCACTACGGAGACCACATACCTGAAGGGAGGTGAGATGCATCCTATGTAATTGCTAAAGGAATCCAGAGGGAGATTCTCTGTTTGGAGACAGCCTTCCCCTTCTGCTGTCCTCCAAAGCAGACAAAAAGCTGTGCAGATGATCTGAAAATCTGTGTGCATTCCAAATAGATGCGCAGGGCTCACAGTGGGCACAACAGAGACAGGGTTGGGTCTCCCTCAACAGAAGGGAGAGCCTGCAGGTTCACCACTTGGTCCCTAAAGGGAGTAGTGGGATCCTTGGGCACATATCCAGGTCAGGGTCTCAGGACAACGTGAGAGTCTGCCAACCCTATTTCTAGGCATGTTTCGTTGATGGAGAGGGCTTGCAGAGCCCCACTCTCTTGACTGAAGTAAGCACAGTCAGTAAGGCTGTCTTCATAGGGAGGGCACTCTCTCTGTAAGACCCGCAGAACCATTGAGACATCCCAAGAGGGGATAATGCATGGTCTCGGAGGATTCAACCTCCTTGCACCTCTCAGGAATCTAAAGGCGCTTTCGCACCGTGTAGTTCTAGGAACTAAGTCCTGGAACTAGCCAACAGGGTCGTTCCTAGAGGACCAATTTCTCCCTCGGGCCATTTTCCTGGTTGTATTCGCACCGGCAGCAGGAACTCTGAAGCGGCCGATAGAGACATCTTTATTCTCAGCATTAACAAACATTAACAACTGGAGAATGGAGGACAGCGTGATCGGAGCTGTTTTTTGTTGTGTGCTGTGGGTTTTGTGATAACTGAGATGTTATGCAAATGCACAGTTTACGCGATTGAAAGGGCATGAAAATCTGACTAGGGGCAGTGTTTTAGAAAAGAACTGGAGCCGCGAGTGCAACGTGAGGACATGAACCATCCACGAGGGCTGACTGCTTCATCATGGATGCAGCCCAAACACTGAACACAGCAAGCGTGCCGGTCAGAAGGCGAGATGTTGAAACAGCAACCAGAAGGACATGGATGGAAAGGTCTGCCTGTGCCTTAGATTCAATGATGAGGAGTAAGAGAGGTGAATGATGGGCTGCTTCTCAGAGAGAGATGCTGCATTGGCTCCAAAAAAACAGAACAAGTGAGCAAATGCCATGCTGACCTATTTATACCTGGAAACCTGGGGCATGACCTGCTATGCAAATTTTGTATGTCAATTTCATTGGGTGTCTGTGCACCCAAATGTGATCTCTAGTGTCTGAACTTTGACTTTGTCGTCAAAGTGATAGACTGAAAGTGAACTGCTTTCACCTAACACAGTCTGCCGCTGCATAAAGAAATGCAACTGAATCTCTGTTACTCACGAAGAAAGCTACACATCAATTTTATGCATTGATGCCACCGGGTTTTCTGGGCCCAAGCTCATCTCAGAGAGATAAAAAGACAGTGGAAATATGTGCTGTGCTCAGATGAGTCTTTGGGAAAAATTGACTTTTGAGCTCCCTGTCTCAAAGACTAAAGGGACCATCCAGGGACTTTCACCATTGACAGATGCAGAAGCAAACATCTGTCAGGGAGCAGCAGAGCAAACGGCATGGGAGACTGGAATATATGTGATGGTACCATTGACATGGAGGCATATATTGTGACTGTACAGAGACACGCTGCCATCAAGATGACGTCTTCAATGGGAATTCCACGGTTATTAGATTAAGACAATGCCAGGTCTCATTCTGCATGTATGACAACAGTCTGTTTTTGTAGACACAGAGTGAATGTCAGTGCTTATTTCAAGGCACGGTTTTGAGACATTCTAAAACGCTTAATGTGGCTTAATGTGACATTGTAGGACCAGATTCAGTATTAATAATTACTATTAAAGGTAGGGTATGCGATTTCGGAAAGGCTATAGCAATAGCAAGCTAGCTTTGAAAGCAAGATCCCCACCCTCCCTGAATAATCACTCTGCAAAGTCACATTATCTAGTGAAAATCTTTGCGAGAAAATGCAAAAAGTTTGAGAGTGAATGCAAATTTTCTCGTGAGGAATGCAAATGTTTTGTGAGAGAACGCAAAATATTTTTACAAATATTTTTTCCTCCCTCCCCATATTTTTCCCACCAACATGTTCCTTTAGGCTCCGTAGGAAACAGTTCAAGTGTAATTTTTTTTTTATACAACAAAACTTATGCAAAAATACATTATTTTTTTTGCAATTACGTCATTACATCATTTTATTGGTAAAAGGCCAGTTGGATGGAAACAGGCTGGAGACAGCAAATTTCGCAAGGCAAAGCTAATTTTTTTAGACATATTCTCTTTTTCGATAACAAAAACTGGATGGAAACTTGACTATTGTAACAGTTTTACCATAAACAGCAGTGAAATATCAAAATCTAATCTATCTAATGATTCAAGTATTTTTCAAGATTAAATAAGAATTCATAGTCATTCAATAATTATTACTTTAACAGCTGCCAACAATTGCCTAAAAGAAGTTTCATGTTCTTTTCATATTCTTATATTCATATTCTTAATTCATATTCTCTTCACATATCGAGACCTCATCATAACACTCCAGATTTACTTTTGGTTACATTTCGTCAAAATTTAGAGTTTACACTAGCATGCAGATGACCTAAAAGCTAGCAAACTAAAAGCAACAAAACTTTATTTCTGATTAATTTGGGTTTTGAAAACGCAGAAGTGGTCTTTTAAGAAAAGGAGGGAAACCACAAAACAGGCACACACACAAAAAATCACAAGTTTGTAACAAGTTTGTAAAAGTGAGTTTGCTTTTGTGTCAGTTGTTTCTCTTGGCAGGTTGTCAAATCTAACAAAGAGTTAGTGAAGAACCATAAACCCTAAATCCAGCGTAGAGGGGTTCAGTGAATGTAGTGTTGAATGTGTGTAAGTGTGTGAGTGTGTGTGTGTCAGAGACGCTGTAGAAGGACAGCGTGCCGGCCGACACGTCCACGTACATGCCTACTCTATTAGACAGGGGTAAAGGGGCTGGTATATTATTGCTCACATTATTGTGCCAGGCAGTGAATACATTAGTAGAACAGAACAGACTCCAGGATTTGTCATTATATCCAAACCAGCAGTTACTTCTGTCAATTCCTTTATATGTCACTGCTACATGACTCCAGCCACTACATTCAGTCTCCCAGTAACAGCGTCCAGTCAGACTCTCTCGACTCAGAACCTGCTCGTGGTGCTCAAATCTGTCTGGATGATCAGAATATGACTGTTGCTCTTCGACAGGTGTCACTTTTTTGTTCCCCTCAGACAAGATGAGTTGAGTGTGTGCTGTGTTTGGATCCAGTGTGAGATCATAGGCATCTGAACACAAAAAGAGAGATTAGGAGGATAGTTCTAGAGCTGTGTGTGTGTGTGTGTGTGTGTGTGTGTGTGTACTTGTATAGTCATCTTTGTGAGGACAAGTTTGAGTTTTAAACCATTGGAGTGAGGACAAGGTGAGTAATGTGAGAACTTTTTGGTCAGTCCTCCCTTTCTGACTCCCCTTTAAAGTGCTGTTTCAGGGTTAAGTCTTATAGTTAAGTCTAAGTTAAGTCTTAGGTTAATGTTATAATTAGATTAAGGTTAGGGTTAGGCACTTAGTTGTGATGGTTAAGCTTAGGGTAAGGGACTACACTAGTCATGCAAACATGCATGTGTGTGTGTGTGTGTGTGATAGAGAAAAGACCTACATTTTTTCAGTCCTGGAGTGACTCTGAAATGACCTCCATGATCCAATCTAGATATATACAAATATAAACCACAACGGATTAAGGTTTGACCATTTAAATTGTTCAAGAAACAGCTGAAATATTAGCAAGCACTTGAAAACTAAATATTTCTCAAATCAAGGCACTCAAAAAGGGAAAAGAGGCTCCAGAAAAAAGCTCCACACAGAAATCTATAGACAGATTAGCTCAAAAAGCCAACAACATTTATAAAACAGTGAGTATAAATTCAAGTAAAAGAGACTAAAACACACAACTAAGGTGATGAAAGAGATTCAAAATAGAGAAATTATCTCAAGAGCACAATTGTGTCCAAATGTGTCTACTTCTCTACTATATAGACAACAGTATGTGAAAATAGTTGTTTTTGAATTTGTGGTATTTATAAAATAATCGCATGGTTGAATTATTACTTCTTCAGAGGTTCTAAAATGCACATCTAATAAACATTTTGATATTTAGAGAAGTTATGAATGGGAATGAAGTGACACAACTGACACTTTTGGTTTTCAGGGTCACATGAGTGACAACATGGCATATGTAGTATGTCTGGATTATATTCATACTACACACATAATAATCCAGTGAGATTTTTTTGCATTATCAATGAGTCCTACAACAGATGGTGTGATCCACACAGAAATCTGATCTCACTGTAATCAAGTCCGACTGGAATTACATGAAGAAGCAGAAAAACAAGACAGTGTAAATTCATAAGAACTGTGGCTTCTTCAAGATGCTTGAACAACTTTAAAACCTATAGGATTTGATGCTGTTTTAAAGAAAAAGAGTGGTCACACCAAGATTTGTTTCAGTTGTTTTTGTTAATTATTGATAAATAACAGGGGGGAAAAAAGAAGAAATCTCTTTTGCTAATTACGTTGTCATGGCTTAAGGGCACTGGTAAGCATGACACAGCAGACAGCTTTTCAATTTATATCACCTAACTGAGGTTACCGTACTCAGGGCTTGACATTAACTTTTTTTGCTCACCAGCTACTGTGGCTAGTGGTTTTCCAAAATTACTAGCCACTCAGCATTTTCACCAGCCATAATATTGTTGCTGGGGAATTACATTTTATATGATTGAAGTTCATGACTGCATACTAAAATTTACTTAAATTGATTTCCAGGTCATTTTTGCCTTTTCAATTTATATCACCTAACTGAGGTTACCAGTACTCAGGGCTTGACATTAACTTTTTTTGCTCACCAGCTACTGTGGCTAGTGGTTTTCCAAAATTACTAGCCACTCAGCATTTTCACCAGCCATAATATTGTTGCTGGGGAATTACATTTTATATGATTGAAGTTCATGACTGCATACTAAAATTTACTTAAATTGATTTCCAGGTCATTTTTGCCTATGTAAAAGGCAGTCTTTTTACTAACCTCATTAAATGTATGCATACATTTTTCATATCAAATAGTTAAACAAATTGTACTAATAATTACAGTTAATATAATGAGACACTAGGACTGTTACCAATCAAACGAAATCAGAATCAACAAAACAGATCTTTCCAATGCAGAATAAAGTGAAGCAACTGAAGTGGCATTTTAGATGCCTTTTTACACAGACTTTTTGTAATGCATTTTTACACACAAATGCAATGAAGCTCAAATGTAGAATGCCATGAATGCATGTACGCTGCAAAATTACAACTGCATAAATAATGTTGTTTTAAATTACAATTTTAAATTTAAAGTTTTTTAATATACAAATCTGAAATACTTTTAAATATGAAAGTAAACCACCAGCAGGTGGCAGCAAGTGACTGTCTTATTGAGTGAGTCATTGAGTCATTCATGACGGCTGAGTGCGTCCCTGCGTCCAAATGTGGATACTATCCACCCTATCTGCCCTAAATAGTATTGAAAATTACTAATATCACATAGAATTTAGGATGGATAGTGTGCACACTGGGATGCAGGCCCTGTCTTTATGAATGGGTTACTGAATCATTGATTTGTTCGATACACTGAATCATGTCTAAAATGTAAGTCACTTAATATTAACTACGTGTTCGAACTCTTGCATAAAATCAATGGTAAATTTGCAGTCAACTGCACTCTTTTGGTCGTGTCATGTTGCTTAACTAGGTTATATCATGTTATAAATATAAAAACGACATTTTACTGCAGTATGTTACTTCTGTGTGCAGTTGAGTTCATTTGTTGTGATTTCTTCACGAGATTCTTTCACACACAGCTTTGCACGACCTTGTCACTGTCAGTAGCTACATTATCCACTATAAATTGCAGGTTGCACCAAATGTAATACAATCAGAATCATTCTCACCGAAATATTGGTGATTCCCTAATTAGATGTTTTAATTACGTTTGTTGTCCGGTCAGGCAAGTAAAATTCTCTTTCACGTTCTCCTTCAAAAAATCAACTTGTCCCGGACAAGTATTAATGTCGAGCTCTGTTACTGTAGGCTATATAAAAATCAACCCGCCGAAGTGGCTAGTAGGAGTGACTGTATTCCCCGCCACAACTGAAATCCACCCACATTTGGCGGGTTGGTGGGTGTTAATGTAAAGCCATGCCAGTACTAGTGATCATGAGTAAAACCACCAGCACTGCCCCACATACTTGAGTATCTGCAGTTTATAGTTGGGATCCTCCAGTTTGTGTTTGAGCAGCTGGACTCCTGATGGTCCTGGGTGATTGTAGCTCAGATCCAGCTCTCTCAGGTGTGAGGGGTTTGAACTCAGAGCTGAAGACAAATAACCACAGCCTTCCTCTGTCACCATACAGCCAGACAACCTACAGAAACACACACACACAGACAGATCATCTACAGACAAAGAGAGATCAAATGAGAGGCTAGGAATTGCAAATGTTAAAATAAGTAAAACGACACATTCACCTGTTAATGCAGTGTGTCTTAAAAACTACGAGGAACGCCTGATTTCTACCATAATGTTACAACAATTTTGGTTATTTTTATCCAACTTCGAGCTCTTCTCTTACTGTACTGTACTTCATGAAGTGAAGACTAATGAAAACTATAAATATCTGGGCCCATATTCACAAAACATTTTATCTTACCACTAAAAGTTCTCCTAAATAGCAGTACAAGTTTTTAGCTAAGAGTTTTCTCTTAAAACCTATTCACAAAGCTGCTGAGACAAACTTTTACTAAGGAATAGAAAGAAGTCTTAAACTAAGAGTAAGGGCGGGGTTGACCTCGTTGCTATGGATGATGTCAGCATACTTACTATGTACACAGTGATTGGCTGATAGTCTCTATCAGAGATTTATTCATAGAAATATTGTAGAGCATGGTATTATGTTGCCATATTCAAATAAATGTTTCAAAATGCAGGCTAAGTGTCACTAAAACGTAAACGTAAACAATTAGTGGATATGCATATAAATAGCGTGAAATAATCATGAATGATAGTAAGACATGCAAAAGTAAAAGAAATCCAAACTGGACACAAAACGGCTGTTACTTCTTGCCCAACTTGTTAATGAAAACAAGGATATAATCAAAGGAAAATTTGGAGTTGGGATAACCTCCAAAACCAAAAAATGTAAAAACATATGTGTGCAACTAAATGCAGTGTGTTTTAATGATGTTTTATTAACAAGGTTCGGGAGGAGCGCGTCAGCTACTTAGCCTAATTAACACAGGTGGAGCGCACGCAAGTTAATCAACACCATTATATAAATACAGCTGACTTACCTCTATCCATTGACGGTTTATCAGCATCCCTCCTCCGCCCCATCTCCTCACTTCGAGTTCATACTACACTTATATGGGGTGGGGGTACTCTAGGTTCGGGCCATTCCCGAGCTCGGAGCCCTTCCCCGGACAGCACGCCAAATATGCATTACCATACTTCAGCTAATTATATGCAAGCGCGAACTCGTGAAATGCAGCGTGCGGTGTACTCCAGCTTTTAGTCTGCTATATATTTTCTAACTGATCAGACTTAGCCTACATACAAAAACAAGGACTATAGATAAAAAAAGACGGTTCACACCTATCACTTATTAATGGGGGAAACTGCAATGCACAATATAGCGGAGTATGTCCTACCTTCTAAATGAAAGAGCCAATCGCTGATTGGTAAAGTCATTGCATCACTGCAGCTGCCGTTAGATACCAGAGACTCGCGCTTATTTAAAATGTTTACATTCTGAGGCAGGTTGCCGGCAACAGCAATTTTAGGATAGTTTGTGGTTTGGTCTTAGTGACTTAGGAGTCCTCTTCACTACTCCTAATGTTTCACAGATTTAGGAGGTAGTTTTAGCACTAAAACACTTTGTGAAATACTCTTGGAGCAAAAATGTAGGAGTCCTAAATTTAAGACTGACACGGCCATTATTTTTAAGATTTTCTCCTAAATCGGCAAGTTATGAGCTACTTTTATCCTTAAGATGTTTTGTGAGTGCGGGCCCTGAATGTCATGCCTTGTTTATTTGCAGCGTTCAAAAGGCTTTTAAAAAAAGATCTGATGAAAGCTGTAGTAAGTACTTGAATAAGAATGTGTTAAATTTCATAATTCAAGAAAATCAGTTCACCAGGAAATTTTGCTTCTAGGCCATACACTCTCAAAAATGATGTGTTAATTAACAACACATTTTTTGTGTTATGGCCATTTTAACACATTTTGTGTCATTTTAAGTTGATCATGTGTAAAAAGAAAGAGAGAAACAACACAGTGTATCCAACACAATATGTGTTAACTATCATCCAATCACATTGCTGTCACTCCACAAACTGTTAACCAAATTTGCGCATCTTTTTTTTCATTGGTGGATGATGTGGATGCACTCATGTCAGGTATATGGATTTCCCCGCTAGAAATCTAATGTTCCCAGAGCATTCTCAGGACGTCCCGCCGGTGTCAATGATGTTCCCAGAACGTTCTGAGATGGTCATGATGTGGAGTTCTTTAAAGGGTTGGGGGACATTATTTGGAGGACCTTCAGGGATTAACACTGCACAAAGTGTATTTGGTCCCACAATACAGAGTGTTAAAGTAACACTGACGCAGAGTTGAAGTGAATGAGAATGTTAACAAGCAGAATAACTGAAGGAAAGAGAAACAGAAAAAAAGAGAGACGAACAGAAACACAACTACAACTGACTTCCAGTCACAGCCTTAGATGAAATCAACTGAAATAAAACACATTCAATCTCTCAAGATCTCAGCAGAGGAGCACTAAACAACTCCACAAATAGCATCACCAGCTTCACTTATTATTAACCACTTTGATTTTATTTCTGTCATACAATAGTTCTTAATGAGAATCAACAGAGGTTTAGATGATGGTTTCATTTCACAAAACGTCACCATCACCATCACTGTGGTCAGTATTTTCTTTAGTTAGGCTCTTGACCCTTAAATTTATACATACACATTAATTTTTTTGCTGCTGTAATTCTGTGTTTACAAAGCACATTATTATAGTAAATAAAATGTGATCGGGTGATGTTGGTTGCTTAATACAATCATCATGTAGTGGCTTAATTCACTGAATGTTATGTTTTGCACTGTTGAATATAGAAGATCTTTGTTTCTGTAAGTTGAATTTTAAGTGTTTGGACCATACGAACAATAAAAAAATTTTGTGCACAAGAAGTTTTTGTTTATGGCACACATAGACATGAAAAACCGGCATATTAATCTCAACAATGGTGACAATCAACAAAATATTCAGATAAACATTTACATTTACATTTAGTCATTTAGCAGACACTTTTATCCAAAGCGACTTACAAATGAGGACAATAAAAGCAGTCAAAGCTAACAAAAGAGCAACAATATATAAGTGCAAATGACAAGTCTCGGTTAGCCTAACGCAGTACACATAGCAAGGTGTATATACACTGAACAAAATTATAAACGCAACACTTTTGTTTTTGCCCCCAACACACACACACACACAAAGAAAAACAAGTAGCTAGAATAGAAAAAAATAGAAAGCTAGTTTGTTAGTTTTTTGTTGTTTTAAAAAATAAATAAATAAATAAAAAAAACATAAATATAAAGTAGAATTAAAATAGAATAGAAAGTGTTAGAGTTAGAGGGTTATAAACAGATCTTTGAACATCACAAAACAAGCTACTAAAAAGTCACAACAAAAATAGCAAACATCAAAGCAAATAGTAAGAATAAAAGAAAATACTAAGACAATTCAGATGCATCATTTATTCATGCTGCAATGAATTCTGGGAGCCATGGGCGAGTTTTGATTGGTGCACCCAGAATGCACTGCAGCATGAAGCTTTTTGTTTATTGTCACCATTGTTGAGATTCATATGCTGATTCTTGATGAATGTTTGCGTTGAAAACAAAACAAGCTACTAAAAAGTCACAACAAAAATAGCAAACATCAAAGCAAATAGTAAGAATAAAAGAAAATACTAAGACAATTCAGATGCATCATTTATTCATGCTGCAATGAATTCTGGGAGCCATGGGCGAGTTTTGATTGGTGCACCCAGAATGCACTGCAGCATGAAGCTTTTTGTTTATTGTCACCATTGTTGAGATTCATATGCTGATTCTTGATGAATGTTTGCGTTGAAATCACACAGATGTACAAACTATCTAGTGTGTAAAGGGCTTTTAAAATCCATTAAAGCCATTCATTTGATAAAAAACATTACTTATAACAACAATGTTAAAACAGTTTAAGATCAAACATAATCACAGATTTAGACTTCGGATAAGATCAGTGGATCAGGACATTACATGACAACTAAGTAATTATTAACGACCAGCCAAAACCAACTGATCATGTTTTCTTCTGTTTTTTTTTTTTGCCATAACAAATGTGTTTTGCGAACCTAAATATACAGCAGCCAAAGAGAGAAAAAAAAAACTAATGTTATAAAGTCAGGGGTCAGGAGCCCAACTGAAGCTACAAACACTGAGCGCCTTAATGGTGACTTTAAACAAAACAAAACATCTAAACCTCTGTTCTAAATAATAACTGTTTTAGAAAAACTTGTTAGCAATAAGTGAAGCTGGTGATGCCGTTTGTGGAGTTATTTAATCCCCTGCGTAGATCTCGAGATATTGAATGTGTTCACGTTCTGAGAACGCTCTGGGAACATTACATTTCTAGCGAGGTAGATGTTGTTCATTCTAACAGTGCTTGTTAACTGGTTGTGTTTGTATTATTAATGTTAATACTATGCTTAATTAGTATTCAAATGACATGTGAATATTGACTTTGTGTAAATGTAGCATTCAAGTTTTAACAGAGGTGGGAATTTCAAGTCACAAGCAAGTCTTCAAGTCATATCCCAAGTCCTCAAAGAGTTAAAGTTAATAAGATAATTAAGTGACTAATTAAATGATTGTGCATTAGTGATGAACACCTGCTGTTATTGAGAATTACAGAGGATCAGATGTTGATGTTTTATTAGTTAAAATGATGTCACCATCATGGAGATAAGTGTTTGCTTTAGTTGGGCTCTTGACCCTTAACTCCTGTGTTAGGTCTCTCTCAGTAGCACTGCATGTGGTGTTGAGAAGCAGAGCGATCAGCTATTAGCTGTTTTTATTCGTTAAAATAGTCATCTTGAGCTGGTCTGGTTGCAATCAAGATAACTTTTTTTTTCATTTATATGTTTAGGTTTTGCATAACCAACTCTGTGAAACTACAGCATGCAAACAAAGTGCTGCTCTAATAGGTATGGTGAATGAATTTTAAATCTATGTAACACATATAAAAATCTGAATTCCAGTACTATATAGACACACACAGACATCAAGAACCAGCA